GTGCTATAATGGCGGCAATTAGACATGTGCCGCATCCGCCTCGCTCCACATTGTGTGGACGATAATGCCGGTGTGGAAACTGACGACACCGTCGTTTCATCACCGCTATGTGCAATATAGGATTTGATAAGAGCTAAAAATAACTACAAGTGCCTGTATCAATTGGATTGCTAGAACTTTTTATTTGCTTGCGTGTTACACTTAACACATCTTGAAGTCGTAAATATACTTACAAATGATACAGATTTACAGCTTTAGGTACCCATGAGCATACGTAACTAGACTCGAGCTACTAAACTCTATGCACGCAGAATCAACGACCTGGCTGAATGTATTGATTGATTAGCTCTACGCATGTAAGGTAACATTCTAGAATTTGAACAGACCCACTATTTACTAGACACGACGTCATTAATTAGTTAAAGTGGTCTTAGGTACGTATGCTATATTATTAAGCGAGTACATTAGCATTTGTTCAATCGTCGATCTCAATTTCGGGAAATATCGGCTGTTTCTAGGGATGGGTACCGTGTTAATGTTGTGTCAACAAACAACTCGCAAATATTGTATATCATGTTCCTAAACATTTCTTAGATAAATATAAGGTTCTGTATTTAATAGAGCGTCATAATTTACCAAGCACGGATAGGTTTCTGTAGCTTTATTATTTTTCTTCTTGAGTAGTAACCGTCGAAAATTAGAATCAGACTTTATCATAAGATACTTTTTTGTTTATAAGGCCAAATAGTAATGAAATGAACTAGTGGTATTAGTTTAAATGTAATCTTTGTTATCATAATAGCGGGCGCGTTTTGGCAACATAGTGCGTGTATCCGCGGGCTCCCACGCCGAAAGTACGGAGCTGTCTCACAATTGTTTAGTGGATTAGTGTACTATAATGCGTTGGCTAATCGCCTATATGTAAACAGACAGACGGACAAATATTCAATATTTTTCTAAACATCTTCGTCTCGATTGTTATCTCATAAGGGTTACCCAGGTCTATTATGTAGAGCTAGTTCCTAGTACACACTTGTTGTTGGTTTCGTACTATGGTAGAGTGAATACAAACTGCAATGAGCCGCAACCGCTGTAACCTTTCAAACCAGCATACCTCTCGTCGACTTGTCCGACTACCCACATTTTCTGACGTGCACGTTCTCTGTTCCAGTGGGCGGCGTGAGCGATCGCGACGCATACGGCTACGGCTACGGAGGCGGGGGCGGCGGGCACCACTTCGCCGCGCCCGCCCCGCCGCCCCTCCCGCACGACGACCTGCCCTACTCGGTGTTCGACTTCGGCGACTACCAGCGCCACCACCACCACAACAAGCTCAAGCCCAAGAAGCGGCCGCGCGCCGACGCGCCACCCACGCCCGGCGTCAAGCGCAAGTCGCGCGAGGGCTCCACCACCTACCTGTGGGAGTTCCTGCTCAAGCTGCTGCAGGACCGCGAGTACTGCCCGCGCTACATCAAGTGGACCAACCGCGAGAAGGGCGTGTTCAAGCTCGTGGACTCCAAGGCCGTGTCGCGCCTGTGGGGGCTGCACAAGAACAAGCCCGACATGAACTACGAGACCATGGGCCGCGCGTTGCGCTACTACTACCAGCGCGGCATCCTGGCCAAGGTGGACGGCCAGCGCCTCGTGTACCAGTTCGTGGACGTGCCCAAAGACATTGTGGAAATCGACTGCTCGCTGGCGTAGAGCGCCACAGTCGCGGGGACTCGTGGCCGAGACGCGTTTCGCTCTAACATTTTTTCACTACTTAGTAAATTCTATTTTTCAAATCATCATGCATTACGTTCTCCGATCGCTTACGATTCTTAAGATTACTCTCAATCGAACTAATATTATTAACTTATCATTGAATTTAATATTTATACAAAAATAGGAGAGACGAAATTGATTGCTCAAATGTTTATATAAGTACCTATTTTTAGGGGTATTTCAGATGAGGAACACTAAATTTGCTAGATGTTATATGGTACGGAGTGATTTTTGTATAATGTTGAACGAATTTTTAAATGTTTGTAATGAAGTTTCTATATAGCATGTTGCCGTGCGCTCGCGCGGCTTTACTTCCTACCTCAAAACTACGCAAAAATAACATTCATATGGATATACACTTTACGATGTTCGAGATACAGTTTATACAATACGCAATAAGTATAACATTATAGTCTAATAAGAGTTTATAGTGAAGAAATATTTACGTAAAATGTTTATATTATGACAAAAATATCATATTAGTATCATCCTCAGATAACTTGTTTGGTGCTTGTTATGGCCATTCGCATATTTACACCTTGTTACAAACGACGACCTCACGCTGTTGACTGTTACATATATATTATATGATAAAGTATTTATGCGCCGCGCACTGCGCGGGCGCCCTCTGTTGCTTCTCAGCCGAATTCCGATTGATATTATTTGGTTATGTTGTGGAACATTACGTACTGAAACTACTGCCAACTTTCTGTTAGACAACTGAATATGACTATTTGTAAGGGATGATTTGTGAGTTATTTGTGTTAATTATTATTATAAATAGATATTTACTATAAGTGAGCTGTATAAGTGAACATGTTCTAGTTTATTTCGTTTATTTAAATTAATGATAGTAAGCCTGTTGGACGGAGGTCTTGCGCGCCATCATTCGTCGACATATCAAGTATCATCTCATAATATACATACAGAGTTTTCGAGCTATTTTCATATACGTGCTGTTTGTTTCCGAGCATATCAAATCGCGCTGATAAACAAATGAAACACATTTCCAATGAACGGCGCAAGATCTCTATTTTTTGTTACCTGAATAAATATTATTAATAATTAATTACGATTTGTGGTCCAATGTTAATCAATCATAATACTTTATACTAGATAGTCGATAACAAAAGGTTATAACGTAGCCTAGTACACGCCACTCCTGCGCGGTTGAATGCAATATCACATTCAATGCAAAGACAAAACATAATCCTTTTTAATACGTATACAAAGGGTGGAGTATTGTATAAAATTGAGAAAAAAATAGAAATATGTTTGTAGGTTTGTATGTAGGCGTACGCTATGCGTGCGGGCGCGGGCGCACTCGGCGCAGTATTTTTGTATGAGTAGTCGCGCGACCAGTGAGCGCGGGGTGCGCCGGCGCGTCAAGGGTGCTACGAGGGACCGACAGGGACAGCCACATAGGAACGTTACTTATAATAGATAAAAGATCTCAGCGTCCACACTTCTTCGAACAAACCAGTGCCCGTTTCATGTGATTGACATAATTATATACTTATTATAAAAAAAGATGTGGAATTTTAATCGTATTTTTATATAGCTAGTTGGAATTCTTACGACCCTTTCTTTCGACACTATTTCTTATGCTTTTGTAAATATAACGATAGATATTTTAACTTATTTATTTGTTGCCGGCTGGCGGGCCCGCGCGGCGCAGCCAGTATAGTTATAGCGCCGCGCTCGCCCGCGCACCCTACTTGATAGTCTTTCCTTTTTAGGAAATTTCGTTCTCTAGGTTACAAATTTTATTGTAATATACTTTATAATAAATTAATGAATAGTAGGTAATGAATGGACCACGTGATGGCAAGAGAGTGCTCTCAGAATTTATCGGCTAGTGTTAGGGACGGTTACCGTGTTGAATGTTTGAGCGAACATGTAAAACGATGCTCGGTAAAATTTTAATCATTTTAGTCGAATTGATGTTGTTGAAAAATCAAAGTTTCTAATAATTAAATGTACTTAAATTTTCAATGTAAATTATGACAGCACCTCGAGACGAAATTATTGTTAATGGAGTTATTTTAATTGAGCCTAGTCTTAGCATCTTAAATTAAATTAAAGTAATTTCGGACGCCGCGGTGGATCGGATGTTCTCGGGGTTTTGGACGTCAAATATAAATTATTGTTGTAAATAAAGAGATATATGTGACAACGCGCACAGCCGCGGCGCTTGCCCCTCGGCGCGGGCGTCGCTAGATAGGCGAGCAATGAAAATGTAGAGGAAGCAATGAGAAGGTTAGTGATTTGGTATAGGCGCGGCGCAGGCGGCCCGCACTGCGCAGGCCAGTGATCGATGCGTTCTCGTGATACGTTGTGTTAGTTAACCTGCCAATTCTTTGACCAGTGCTTTATTTATGGACAAAATTTTTAACTTAGTTCTGAGAGACGTGCGGTACGGTGTTCTCGCTTTTAGTTTACGAAAGTCCGATATTTTAATTGTAATTTTAGTTGTTTAATTTTACAAAATACTGTATTTTCTGCCCCCTAGTTAAGTTATTTTTCTATGTATAGCTAGTTATAAGTGTAAATGAGTTAGCACATAAATTTGATGCATGATGATAATGTTAATAAAATATCCACAATAAAATACAAATGATTTGTTTTACTCCAACGCCCCGTCAAGAAAAAACTCCAAGAAATAAGTCCAAGAACATTTGAAACAGAAGTAATTAAAATAGCATTATAGAAAAGATAATCTACCTATCCTATGTCACCAATGATTTTCAATCTGCTGTATTGTGACTGCACTCCGCAGAACCTAACAAAGGCTAACTAAAAAGTCCTTAATAAATCCATTAACTTATTAATGAAATAAATAAAATACCCCGAATTGGTTACATTCATCGTACCTATGTAGAGCATATAAAAAATAGTAATGGAATATGCTGCAGACGCATAAACATAAAGTGGAGTTCCTGATCAAAGCTCAAACTCTACATTCATCAAAATCTCCTCTGCACTTAAGTTTCTTTGATCACAGTAGCAAAAAACACGAGTCATCGTCATCAAAGAAGAAGGACTTATTATTGATGATTTTAATGAGTAAATCCAAGTATAAATCTTGATTTTTTAAATAGAGAACCGACTCTACATTACATACACCAAAAACCAAAAAATAAAATATTATGAACGCACCCATAACATAGACATGCCATACCATAGACAACGCAAGTGACGTGTTGTTGTCATGTCAAAAGATTTGACGTGTATTCACAGCTGTCAGTCTATCAGGAATACGGAATACGATTTGTTTTCCAATTTTCCCAATAATGAGAAAGAAAAAGTAACGTGGATTTATCGAGAAACATTACATCCGATCGTTGTTGTGTGTTGTTTAATGTGAAGGACAATTTATAACTTTCAAAATGGTTTTAATGACAATGATTGCGAGGGTCGCTGACGGCCTGCCTCTTGCCGCTACCATGCAAGAAGATGAGCAGGTATGAGCTTCTTTCGAAATAAAAGCATTCCTACTTACCCCTCACATAACTATATTTCATAAGCACAGTCCATTTATCGCTTAGTTTGATGTAGTTTCGGCATGACAACCCTCTTGCTTACGTTTCACAACCTCTTTGTTTTTCCCCATTCTGTTTGGCATCTTTCTTTTTTTATAATTTGCTGTGGTGGTTCGCAGAGTGGCTGCAATATTCTGGAGTATCAGAACCAGGCAAAAATGCTGTTTAGGAAACTAGGACCCCAGTCTCCCCTGCGGTGTTCCATCGAGACTGGGCCATATCTCTTTCAGTAAGTTTCAGCGCTTCTTATATTTATTTTCTCCTTTACGTAGCCTTTTAAATTTGTTTTTAATTGGTAACTGTCATTGTTATTATATTGCATCATTTCTCATCGCCACTGATGCAAACAATTGTTTTTGTGTTAATAGAGTGAATGTATTTCAATCGTTTATTTCATTTGGCAAAACAATAAAATCTTCTTGCACTTCAAATCACCTTAAAAAACATTCACAAGAATGAAGTGCGGAATCAGATGTGAAAGATAATTAATTAGTTGTTAATACATTTTCAGCTATTTAATTGAGAACGAGATATGCTATCTAGTGCTTTGTGAGCGAAATTACAGTAAAAGGCTAGCATTCAGCTACCTCGAAGAAATTGCCCAGGAATTCTACCAGCAATACGGCAAAAGAGTGAGTATAATTTTTAATCAATCATATTTTAATTTTTTTATTTGTAAACAGAACTAACTCGTAAATTAATTACATATTGATATAATAAATATTTGAAGATGAGTCTCAGAGTAAATAATAACCAATTAATTTTAATTCTTAATAAAGGAAAGGCTATTTGATTGCACATTGTGTGAATGTTATGTTAGATAGTTAGGCAATAGTGTTTTGCAATCATCCATTGGTTACTAACAAGAAAAGTGAAAATATGCAGTAGTATTATGGCTGCACACTGCAATGATGTAATAATACAACTTAGCATAAGTATTTTATTTATATCAGTTATTATTACCTGCTGCAAAATTAAACATGAACAACATTTACATTGCTAATGAATGTGGAAAAAATATTATTTTTGTTTCAAGTATTTTCTTCATGTTACTTTTCAGGATAATTTCTTGTTGAACATAATGTGATGATGAAGATCCCAATATAACTTTAATAAAAAATTTTAGAAAATATTATACACACTAGCTTTTGCCCGCGGCTTCACCCGCGTGAAATTTATTTTTTCACAGATCGTCATAAATTATAGCCTATATGTTATTCTGGGTTATAAGCAATAATACTGTAAAGTTTCATCAAAATCCGTTCAGTAGTTTTTGCGTGAAAGAGTAACAAACATCCAACCAGACATCCAAACTTTCGCATTTATAGTATTAGTAGGATGCAAATTGATGCAGGTATTCATGACTTATGTCAAGAATCTGACTGTAATAATAATAATTACTTTGAGCACAGACACTACTCACTGTCAGTTCATATTATTTTAATTATGAAAATAATTGTCTTGCAATCCGCAGGTGAACACAGTAACCCGGCCTTACACGTTCATCGAGTTCGACACCTGGATGCAGCGCGCGCGCAAGCAATACTCGGAGGGCGGCGCCCGAGCGCGCAGGGCGGGCGCGGCGGCGGCGCTGGGCGGCCAGCTGGGCGACGTGCAGCGCATCATGATGCAGAACATCGACGACGTGCTGCAGCGCGGCGCCGTGCTCGCAGGTCGGATGTGCTATAGTCTGGTCTGCGAGCACGTAGAATTTTGTCCAATGACCCCAAGCTACCCATCCTTATCGCTCGCGCGTAATTATGTTGCTGTCGCGCTCGCACACTCACTGCGGGCGCCCGTCGCACAGTCACGACAGCAATATAATTACGCGCGAGAAAACTCAGTAAAAAAACTCAGTAAAATTCAGTCATTTATTTCTGTAAGTAGACTTTAAAAAAGCACTTTTACACGTCCCAGTATTAACCCTACCACTGCTTCAGGACAATAAATGGGCCAGTGCTGAGAAGAAGCAGCGCAAGAAACTCAGACACTATTGTCAGCCTCTTTTTCAAAGGTTTACAGAGATAAGGATGGGTAGCTTGGGGTCATTGGACAAAATTCTACATGCTCACAGACCGGGCTTTAGGCAGGGTACTCACCTGCCATACCTATAGCACGTAACGTAGCATGTAACGTGTCCAACCTTCAAGTGAGACGGCTCGTCCACGGTCATCGCGTATCTAGCTGCGAGCTCCTGGATCCTACTGCGAGCTGCCTTTGTGCTCGCAGTGATATCGCCAGTCGGCGGGTCGCTGCGATCTCCCTGCGAACCACGCGCGAGTAGCTCCCAACGGGATCGTGCCTATGTACCTACTCACTTGATACAGTATCTGATGCATTACATGCTACACGGCTAGATGAGTACCTTACTCTACGCTACGTCAGTCACGTCAGTACTCGGAGGGCGACGGGTGGGAAAATTTCACCTCACGCACCAGGGTCGTTGTGAAAATCCTTGGGGGCCTTTGTGCAATGGACATTCTGGAATGGAAATTATGATGATGGTGTCAGTTTTGCTTGCTCTGAGAGCTGAAGTTGTTTTACGCGACGAACTCAAAAACTTTTTTGAGAGATATGAGAGGCATGAGAGCGTCTTTTTCCTTCATTTGCGGTTAATGTTGACGCCGAGATCGCGGAAAAATTCTGTGAATTCTCGCTCTAACAAGTCAACAACAACAGACAAATTCTTGGATCACAATTTTTAGTGTTAGGCCAGATTTCCACCAAGGCGGAGCGAAGCGGAAAAATGTTTTGAAAATTTGTTCCGCTCCGCCTTAATGGAAAGAAACGGGGCATTACTTCTACTGTAAGTAAGCTAAATGAAATCTAACAAAACTTCTTTTTTTGCAGAGCTGGACACAAAGACGCAAAACCTGTCTATGATGTCGCAGAAATACAAAAAGGACGCCACCTACTTGAACACCAAGTCGATGCTGGTGAAGGCAACCGCCGGCGCCGTCATCCTGCTCGTCTTCGTGCTTTACTTCTGGGTGTTGTAGAACTAACCTCCGCAATTAGGATGTTGCGGTCCGGCACTAATGCTGCAGGGGAAAAATTGCTAAAAAAAACCTTCTATTTTAATGACCAAATGTTTTCATAAAGATCCTATACAAGGCTATATCTGGCAACTAAGCAGAAGTATCATATTGTGTTTTCTACCTTATTCCTTACAGCCTCGGGTTCAGGACTGAAATGTAACTTCAAATCAACAGCGTTTTGAAAATTTTTTTTCTACAACAAAAATATTTTTGGAGAAAATTAAATATGAAATAACCAGCTGTTCTATATTTTAGAGTGCACTCTACCGATTCTTTAGTGATTCCAATTTCTTAATTTTTCTTTATTTGAGTAAAATACTTATGTTTTTAAAATATAAGTATATTTTCAGTTCAAGGTATTTCATGCTTACATATGACTAATAATGGTATTTTTATTTTACTTTTCATCAAGTTTTTGTTTCAACATAATTTATCCTTTACCCTTTTTTAATTTCCTACAAAATTAAGATCTTAGAATCAACTGTATGTACTCGAAATCTGCACAAAGCACCAATTTTTTAACTTTGAAGAGATCTTAATATTTCGATTGACATTATGAAAAAGGCCTATTATTATTATTTTCCTAAGCATGATACCCATAAAAATAATAAAAACTCTTTCAAGAATTGTTAATGGGAAGAGCATTCCATACAGTGTTTATAACTAACATTTGCAATAAGTGTACCAAATGTTATTGATATTATTGTAACGAAACTAGTATAGATTCCCCAAGACATTCTTACATTAGGCAGAGTTTGATATAATTATTTACTGATAGCTGTTACATTTGCTTCATGTAATGTTCTTGAAAATGTTTTTCATTGCCAATTTTTTTATATACAGCAGGTGTGGTTGGTGATGGAGTGTTGTAAATTTTATCACTTATTGTTAATTAATCTATTTATTTAAGATGTAATAAATATGCATTCTTTTCATCTTGTGTATTACTCTGCTCAACCAGCACACAACCAGTTTGACTATGTGAACATTTTCTCATAGATGCTTGCAAAAACTTCATTGTTTAAATTAATAGTTGATGATATGGATGAAAACAGGCATACAAACATTTAACTTATGGTTTATTATCCTTAAAAAATATCACAAAGTTCAAAGGCATTGTATCACATAACATTAATAATTACTTATTAAATGAATTTAGAAATATTAAATGAGTCTTCAAAAAGGGAATCATCACAGTCTTCTATGTAGCCTTCATTATAATTCTTGGCCAAATGTAATTTTGCTATGGTATTCATGGTTTCTCTCATGCGTAAAGCTGTTGATGTGTCGAGAACCTGCAATTAACATTAACATGGTTAGAAATTTGATTCATAACTAGTGTCATTTTAAATTTTTAAAAAGCAAGAGCTGGTAGTTGAGCTGGATATTGCTTATGAAGATGGGTTACATACACCATTTGATGATAAATCCTATAAGAAAGTTATTTTTTCAGATACTCGTCAGGTATCTAAAATATTTTCACATCTAAGTGGGTCTAAAAACTTGGTTGTGCATAAGTGCCTAAATGCTTTGAAAGAAAATGGTCAAAAGCTTCATGCTGTACCACAGTACAGTCCCTGTTGTTTTCATATTGGATCTCTTGTGCAAGAATTACTGGAGTCAATAACCTTTATCAGTTTAGCATAGATGACAGGTCGATTCTTCCACTGCATGGTCCCAAACACTTGCACGGGGTAAGGAATTACAGTTGAAGGCATTGGGGATTTCAAGTAGATCATTGATACTCTGACTTTGATATCAGAGTTTTTGGTGTTAGTATCCATCTGAAAATAGTAATAAAGGTAAATTGCAGATAATGTAACATCCTTCAAATGAAAGATCTCTCATGTGAAATATTCATAGTTACCTCAGTCAAATAGAACTTTCCATGAATACTTTGTAGCACTCCAATAGTTCTACATCTTGTTACAGTTTCGCTTAGCAATTCGCACTTCTTGGCCAAATCCACTAAATCGTAGTAAATGTAAAAATCTGCCTGGAATATTAAAATTATGAAATTAGTTTAATATGTTAAGCAGTGTAATATTACTGGGTATGCCAATGGTATATACTCTTACGCAGGCTGTTTCTGAAGAGAAAGGTATGTTTACGTAAGATTTGTTCTTTACGTAAGGCATATTTATTTTTACTCCAAAATAAAATTGTATCAAGTTCACAACTTTTGAAAAACTGTACGTGTATTTTTTTTTTTTACTATTTGACTATTTTTTTTTTTTATTGTGATTGATATGTAACTTGATACAACCGTATATGAATATACAGAATGCTAAAGTTATTTATTGAATTAAGTAAAATTAGTAGAATTTGGCACACATGAAATTTTACTTTTCTGATGTTTTATGATTTAGATAAAAATTGTCAAGCAATCACCATTCAATGTATAAAATGTATAACGTTTATGATCTAGCCTTGCTTGCAAGAAACGCAAATTAAAAAAAAAAAGGTTTCTTGACATCTGTCACACTGACGTGTCCATTGTAAACAAAACCTTGATTTTTGCAAAATTTCAATAGATTTTAGCTTTATACCATAAAATAACTAATAGACAAAAATGCCTTCAAGTTTAATTGAACTACGTCCTGATCGCAGGCTCCTAGATCATGAATTTGAAGGTTACAAATTAGATTTGCAGGCACTCCCGCATTTCTCGAGCAGCCTTCCCTTGCCGGTGGACAGAGTGTTTCCCGACGATGTCCAATACTCCTTCATCCACGCGAAACTGTTCGCACTGCACAACCACCTGACTCTGGACTACTGGGATTACTCTTACAAGTTTTACTACATCAATAATAAGCGACAAGTGTGTCAACAATCTTTTGAAACAGACAAAACATTTCGGAGCGCTGTGGTGTATACCATCCCATCTACTGTGGAAAGGAAATCGGGACATTTCAACCTATGTCTTTCTTTCGTATCTCAAGGGTTGGCTGTAGTGAGCGACGGCGCTGGATATCTGCACATAGTAGATACCGGCCCGAGGAACAAGCCGGAAGAGAGCAACCATTGGCAGACGCTCCACTCAAGTTTAGTGCTGGGTGAAGGTAAATATTTCGTCATTCTCGACGCCAGACTTCAAGAAAAAAATAACAAGCAAACCCTTCATTGCTTATTACAGTCAGTGGAACAAACTGAGAAACACTTCAGTTCTGTCCTCACCTGGGTATCATTCGAGAATACAGACCATACTTGGAGCCAAGTCAGCTTAAAAGAGCTGAAAGGCAAAGGAATAGTACATTATGCTGCAATTGAAACCAGCTGTGAAGCTTTGTACATTGCATCGGATAATGCCTTTACATTCACACACGATACAGAGAAAAACATCACAGAACCTGAAACAGAAGAGTTAAGAAAAATAATCTACACTTGGCTGCAAACATCTGAGGATATCACATTGACATTGAAACTGGAAGCTGGTTTTGACAAAAAACTGGTGCACGTTGATGTTTCCCCCTTACAAATTAAAGTGAGTTACGCTGGCAAAAGCTTCATTGAAGGAAAACTTAGGCATAAAGTTGATAGTGAGTTTACAACATGGAACGTCCAAGATAATGGTCAAGTTGACATTCTTGTGACCAAAACTGAGAGTATGTTATGGGATGAACTGTTAGAAGGTGGGGATGCCAAAGGAGAGCAGGTCTTGGACGCCAGTTTGGTGGAAGAAGCACACCGGAGGCTGGCGCACCTGTGTGCGGAGACTGAAGTGACGCCAGACCTGACTTCTACAGGATTGTCCACTCAAGAATTGGAAGAGTGTGATGCACCATCTGAGGAAGACACTGTTTTAGGTAAAAACTATTTATTTCTCTCTTTTACTTTTATTATGCTAAGGCTTGTATTATAATCAGATTTATAAATTCATTTTGTTTCAGTTCGAATCAATGCAACAAACCATCAAATAACTCACAGAGCACCGCTTAGTGTCCACCAATACTTATTTAACATCAAAATAGAGACTGAGGAAGTCCCTGCATTAGCACTACGTCATGACGTGGATGCTTGTATTTGGCAGCCGTACAGCCAGCTTATAAACGAAATGTGGCCAGTCAAACACCAAGGCACCTTGAAGGCATTTGGGTATGTGCAATCTTCAAAACAAAACCGCAAGTTTGTCACCTGCCCACCGAACTTCACTTACAGTGTGGTTTGCGAAGCGTCTAGACACATATTCATTTATCAGAGCTCAGGTAAGCGAGACTGTGAGCTGAGAAAGAGGACAGCCGGTGTAATGAAACCCATCAAGGTTGGTCAGCAACATGTTTTTAATATTGAAAACTATGGAGAAGTTATTGGCATAAATGCTACAAATGAATACTTATTTATTTTAACTGAGAGTTCATTGATTGCTATTCACATTGTATAAAAAAACATAAAGCTATAATATACACAATATTGTATTTTGACTTATTATGTTTCCTCATTGTTACTATCACTAAGGTTTTCTTCAGAAGAGTAACCAGTAGTGAATAACAGGTTTTTAGGTCTTTTCCTTTTTTCTTCTTTGATTTCTTTTTCTATTTCTAACTTTTTCTCTTCTGCTATCTTCTGAGTGAGCAGTTGTCTTGGTCTTTTTCTCTGGAATGATGGCTGGTCAGGAGTAGGGGATGCGGTTGGAGTAACCTCTTGACTACTACTTGAAATATCAGGTTTCTCCAACTGATTGCTCAAGCCATTATTTGGTTCAGGTTTAGATTCTTCAGTTTTCTGTACAGGTTCTTCATCAAACTCATCCTCTAAAAACAAACCAAAGATTAAATCAAGATTTGGCAATAATGAAATTGAAATTTAATATTTTTTTTTTTTTACCTGGAGTAACAATTTCAAAATTGTAAGCATGATCCTTGAGCACCACAAATATGATGGGAAACTCTACAATACACTTCCCAGACAAATTTTCAGCCAGGGTCTCAGTTGTGTCCAACTCAAAGAACTTTTTTGCTGAGCCTCTTACTTTTTCAGCTGTAAAACAAAAAATATTTGAGACAGTACTTATCACATCATAATCATTTTAAAATCAAATAAAAATGAAAATATTTATTGCCAGATCAAGATCAAATCAACATGCCTTTTAGCAAAACTTTGACTCCCTTGAATCCAACTGCTTTGTAGAATGTTAAGGCCTTGGACCCTTCAAAAGGCAGTGCTTCAGGGTTTAGATATTTGTCCAGCAGCTGAGATAGTTTTTTAGTTTCTGGACACCTGTCATCAACAAATTTTAATGGTTCTGTGTCCACATTAGGGAATATCCACTCAACTCTCCATTCTATAAGGTTCTTCTTGTAATGGTAATGAGTAGTATTTGTGATATGTCTTGTGAAGTTTTGCGCGAGGTACTGGAGTACTATACCTCTACTCCTTGCTGCCAATCTTCGTTTATACAAATGCTGTAACAGAAGAAATTGTATTTAGCCATATAAAATATCAGTACAGACCTAGCAACAAAATAACTTGTAATTTTCAATGTAGTCTACATAAAAATTAATGTAATTTGTAAACAATTTACAATTGGTAAATCCTTGTCGGTCCTAGTAAACTTCTTCTTCTCATCGCCCTTCACACTATGGACAAAGCGCGCGCACTCCTCTAGCAGTCTGTAATCGCTGAGCAAGTCTGTGTCGGTAAAATTCTTCATTCGTATAAACTTCGTCCGATCCCGCACGCCGTCACATTCCAGCTCCTTTTTGTGGATCCTTACGCAGGTTAAGCAACAAGTCTTTACTTCACACTTGGGGCAGGTGTAAAGAGCTTTGTTTTTACCACAAACCTCACAATCTCCGAGCCTGTAAAAGGGAAAACTAGGTTAGAATATTCCCGTTTGTAAGTCAAAATTAAAACATAGCTTCCAGGTTACATACCTGGAGGCGGTTTCTGGTTTATTTTCAGACTCCTCATCTGAGGATGAAGACGACGACATGGTAAAATGAAATTTACAAAAGAGTAAAACGGATGCAAATGTTTACGTTTTTTTTATTTACATGGTAGAACTGTCAATGTCATTGGCACATGTGTTGAAATGTCAAAATGGTCGGCTATTTAACCGTCTGTCTGTCGAGTTCTACTCAAGAAAAAAAAAGTATTGTTATAGGTAAGTACTCTTCGAGCTGCACTTTTTATGGAGACTACATTTACCTGATAAATGCGCCGTGTCGTCATCGCGCAACGATTATTGTTAAAAATTATCAATTGATGTCATTCTTATCTTACCACTCTTTTGGGTCCAAACAGAGCCCCGATTACGGTTATTTTTAACGACTCCAATCTATCGGGGCTCAGGTCTCTAGGGCGTAATGTGCCCTAAATCGCGACCCGGCTAGTAAAATTTAGTTCAGTGAATATTGTTGAAATATCATGGTCATGGTCACAATTTTTTACTTAGCTTGTGGAATGTGGATACCCTCTCCGTAATAACTAATACTAAATGTGACATTTCATTTACTCAATCGTTAAAATAATAAAAAATTGCTTGTTGTTGATGTTGTGTTTGTGGTGGAATAACCTTAAAAAATTCTTAAAAATTGCTCAAGACTGGTAGTCTCAATAAATATGTGTTCTTCAGAACATGGTGACGATTGGGATCTACCGTGCTCCGATGACGAGCTTTCCAAATCTGGAGTTTTTATTGGCAAAAGTTGGATGCCCGACCCGAATGAATTGGAAGAGCTTTACAAAAACATCGACAAAAGCGGGACTCTGAATCTTGAATGGAAGTGTCCAGGGAGAAGGGCTCCTTCTCCCGTCCCTGTAAGCAAAGAAAACCAACCAGAAATGCCGGTGTCTCCAATTAGAGAAGAAAAATCAGACTTCGATTTCATGGATGAAGTAAGCTCTTTGCGCTTGCGGGTGCGGAGGGACGGGGAAGACACACTACGAGGGTCAGCTAAGAAGAAGACTACGTCATTTGATGGTATCCTATCGAACATGATCAGACATAAACGCATTGAACAAATGGAGAAGCAAGCTAACACTCCCTCAAGTACTTCCTGATGTTTTTTGATTATTCGATCAGATCCATTTGAGGATGCCTCGTAAAAACTGCCTTGCTAATGCGTTTAGCAAGTGATGTGCATTTGGACTCAAAATTGAAGTTAATCTTTGATGAGTTTCTGAATTAGTGAGTGATGCTGAATCACACATAAATATTGAATACTTAAAATTGGATAAATATGTTAAAATTAAGTAATAAGTACAGCTTGTAAATAGGGTTGAATTAAATGTTGAGATATGTAGGTACTCCAACATTGAGAAGACAGTAAAATAACAATTTCATAAAATGTATATTACTTATTTTATTTATTCATTAACTAAATTCTAATACATTATTTACAGTGATAACCTAGCAGACTCCGGCCTCATCAGATTTTTGTTTTCTTCTAAAATCTGCCGACATCTATCCATATTGTCAATGATGTGTTCCAGCTGCCAATGCTTCCTCAACAGTGCCACGTCCAGGGTGAACTTGCCCTGTCTGATGCACTGTACCCCGGTGCAGTGGGCAGACGTTTTCAGCTGTATGCCCAGATCGTGGACTAACGTCCATAGATAGTGGTCATACTCATTTACTGATTGTACCTCTGAAAAGAAAATTAAGAATCAATGATTTTCAAATATCACTTTCTCTATGATCTGGTTTGGTGATAAAAAACAATGGCATTTGACCATTAACTGTTGCACTAAAAATGTAATAGAAAAAAGATTTCATTATTTTAAGCAATACCTTAGTCATATTTTCTTACCTAATGTAAAATTTGGGGAGTCAAAGTGTACACACTTGATTCCATATATTATTGGTAATTTACTATGTGCTGGCCTTAGGAGGCCCTGAGAAGCCAATTCATATGTGGTTTGTGATTCCATGTGGAGGCCAGATTGTCTGAAATAATGTGAATACTATTAACCTTCAAGCGGGCGCGCGGCGTCGAATCGACCGCGCCTAACACATTTTCGTTCTTAACTTTTTTTTTACTTGTTACACATATTTCTCATTTTTAGTAGCCTGTCGCTTGCTCATTGTGAGCGAAATAAAGAGCTCACCTCAGCTCTCCGCGCTTTTCCCACCCCATGGCTTGCTATTGTTTAAGCCGCGGCGCCGGCGTCGAAAGCACGCCACGCGCCTGTCGTCGAAAAGGTTACGCGCGACTCTCTATGCGGTATAACATTTCTTCGGCTATCACCCAATATCATTGAATTAAGCTTGCAATTATGTTTTTTCTTCTTAAATAAGTCGTAAACTGCTAGTCCAAAGTGAAATAACAGAGACATTATTATGAAAAGATGAAAAATAGAGTGAATCGGAGCTCGGAGACCAAGCTAAACTGAGCCAAAATTATAAAATTATGTTTTATCATTATTTTGCCATTTTTATCGTTTTTACCAGGCATATGAACTATTCTGAGGTATTTTGAAAGATTTTGTGTTCAAAAATTAGTTTTTGATCCAAATAATATTTTCGTTATGTTAATTGATTAAATAATTGTTTCTTTAACTTAATTCAAATTACTTAAGACTTAAATACACTCATAATATGTCTGAGTACAAAATAATAAATGATTATTGGAAAATAAGTGCTTTATTTATTTACTAGACCCTATAGGTCTTTTCGTTTACGCGCGACCGCTGCCGTTACAACAGACCGCGCGCCCGCTTGAAGGTTAATAGGCTAGTTGCCTAAAAAAATTTTTTTAGTCCGTAATGTTTAATATAAAAAAATATTGGACACATATATTTTTATTGGTCAATCTAACAAATAATTACATAGTTATGGTGCGTTGAAGTTGCGCACGACGTCACAACGTGCGGCATTTTTAAGCAAGCGTTGACGTCACGGGCCTCTTCTTATGAACTTTGGGGCGCTTTATCTCTTTAAATTTTCATTAGTTTGAAAAAGTGAAAAATACGTGTAGAGTATTTTTTGATAAGTTAACTGACGGACTAATTAAAACTCTTGCTTTTTGACCCAGGCAACATCCCCATTCTTTCTATAAATCCACACTTAACTGGAGAAAGAGTTTTATTTGAATATCATGTACTTTGTTCATAACTTCTCAATCTCATACATTACTTTGTTGTAACATGTACTGTTACTGAATTTATTGATACAATGCTCATTTTTTATATATTATGATCCTGTTAGCTGATACCTACTCATACATAGCCTTCTGATGTGCTGCCTGCATGTAGGCAACTATTCTATCTATCTTCTCCCTTGTCACATGACCATACGCAGATCGCTCAACGGTCTTGCCATTCCAGAAAAATGTATCTGTTGCCTTCCCGAGCTGGCCTTGTATTTTATATGCCCTTGTCAGTCTAGATGTGTTGATGAGGTATGTAAGTTTCGTGCCTTCATTTATACCTAGCACTGGAATGGAATAATGTAGGAACCTTTATGCTTTGAAAAAATAAAAATAGTTGATTTCTATAAAAAAATAAAATGGATATGATCACTAACATAAGACGCCACTACTGAAAAGGCCTAAATGTGTAGCCCAACTGCATCGTATGTCTTCCAGAATGTACCGCGGCCCGCAAACTAATGGGTCATCAGCATAGTTGGGCACCAACTTTACGGTCATGGGCTCATTGGTAGCACCTACTATCTCCACCCGCTTTTCACGTGGACGGTCAGGCAGCTTATTAAGATCTGTAAAATCAATTGTTGATTATTGTTATGAGCTTTTTCAATGCCTAATTGCTTAGAAGAAAATGTTTAAAACTAACCTCTACACAAATTGGTTTTTATCGTGTGCTGTACTTGTTTGATTGGAACACATGAGGGTTTGTACACACATATAAGTCCGTTTAGAGTTTGGAAAGCAGAAGCAGCATTCCGAAAGTTAACCATTTTGTTAATTTACATTTTATTTCAAAATAAATTCTAGATACGAAAACACCTGTGTTTGACAAAATGATGAATGATGACAGTTTTCTACTATTTACGAAGCTAAAAGGATTAACTTTGATCTTATATAAAAATTTTTTTTTTTGGTTTGATCAATAATTATTATTCTAAAACATGACATCTGAGATCCCTCTGTAAACGTTTGTTTAGGTTTTTTTATTGAAATAGCCAAGAAAGGCAGTTTATGGAAATAGAACCGTCTACTATCAAATTAGTAATTTGTACTACCTTCATAAACTACTTCAAAACGTCAAATAACGTGTATGAAAGAGACAACTGCATGAGTGAAAGAGAAAACATACAAATAGATGCCAGCTCAAAAAAACCTGAGTTTTAGTAGTTTATTGTAGTAGCGAAATAGTTGCATTTAAATTTTTTTCATCAGCTTGTGCATCAATCAGCTAATAACTACGATAACAATGTTGTGCTTTACCAATTTGTTTCCATGCAATTATTATTTGCAATAACTTTTTCAGAAAATTTTTCATTGTTGTGGTATGTATGTACAATTGCACTTAGATTGGTTGAAAGTTCATGCTACCCTACCCATAGGCCCTGTTTGCTAGTTTTTTAATTAAAGATGTGGTACAAAAATTGCAAAAATGATCGTATCTAATCTAAGGAAAAAATAATAGAAGTTTTCAAGCCTTAACTTATGGTAACATTTTATATTAAAAAAAACATTGACACGACAGCGAACGGTCTCTGTGGTCGCGAATTGCGAGGCCAGCAAGCGAGCAAGCAATGGCCGATTGATGAACATTATCTCGGCGGCTAAGGTATTGCGGGCCTGTTTTAGTGTTCCAATTAATTAAAATCTAGTAGGAAACATCTTGCGTGTGTTATAGACGATAGTGCAATTTATTGTGAAATATATTTGTGGTATCATTATCAAGAAAGTGGACTGAAATTTGTGTAGGTGTGAGCATAGAATTTTGTGTACTGCGATTTCTTATGAAACTTGTTATTGGTAAGTCAAACTATCCTTTCATTATTTGTGTTCAGTTTACTGCGTTATATGTCTAACAGTTGTTTCTTTAATTGTGTTCTTATTTCCTAAGTAAGTAATGGAACTTTTGTGGTCGTGCCAACCTGTTTCCAATGTATGGGAACATTCCAGCGTAGTGCCAATTTGTATTTAGCGGAGTCGTAGTTGTTTACTTCCTAAATAATAGTAAAACCTACTTCCTGTATGTTTCTTTTTATTCCTGGTTGCTTGTGTGAGTTACAAAAGTTTTAATGAGTTTTAATTGATTGTTGTTGTTGAAGTTTTTTTCCAATACATTAACTTAGTGAAGTATATTTACTTTCTACCTGTTGCTGGAGGTGTTATGTACTTGGTTTTATTAGTTTTGCATTTTTAGAGTGATTTCATAATGTTTTAAGTTTAAGTGAAAGTAACTAAATAATTTAATTGGCATAATATGAAATAATTATTACATATTTTGTAACTATTCTCTTATTTTAGACAGTACTTTAAGTTTAATTAATGGTTTAATAACAGGCCGGTCCCTTTCTTATCCAATAAGAATAAAATATGAATAACAAACCTATGAGTACGAATAATAAAAACAAATCAAACATTTTAATATGGGGGGTATTATTATACTGTAATTTAGTAATGTAATTAATTATTATGTTACTTAGATCAAATAAATTCAGTGCCCATCAACCTTTGAAAAAAAATCATCATTTACGGCTCAACAAAGTTGCAATCATCATAGATTCTCTTTCACAATTCAAAACATGCACTATCTCCACTTAGAAATAACCTTGTAACACTGTTATTTCTAGTTCACTAGATTAAAGTTTTGTAACATAAACTATTTTTAATTGACACAATTATGATTGAAAATTTCAGAATAAAAAAGAGATATTTAAACAATCTCGAAATAAGAAATGTTAAATAAATACTAAGTTTGTTCGTTCATTTCAGCCAATTGACGTCCACTGCTGGACCTAAACCCCCAAAACTAAGTAACGCATAGAAATACAAATATTTATTTAGATAACTACAAAGTCATCATTGACTAAATAATATTTCCTTATAATGAAATTTAAGACATTTATTTAGTTCTACCCTTAAGATTTGTATTAATATTTTTTTTAAGTTTATGTAAAGCCATGGTGCTCTAAATTATACAACTTTAACATTAAAACACCCACCTCAGTAATATCAAAATGAATATAGTACCTATTCTTATTGGGTTACCCTTTTATGTGATATTTACCCATTTAAAAATGTATTTTCCTATTAGAAAAAACAATAATTTAAAAACATTATGAACTTCTTTGTCTTGGTTTTATGGCCAGCTGTTCAACAATTTGTTTACTTGTTCAGTAGACAGGTATTGTAATTTTTCCCCTTTGTAATTTA